CAAATTTACAAATTCTAGTCAACTTGCGTGTTCTCGACATCACCGATACGCTTTCAATGAAAGGGATGCCATTTGGAATTGGTAACTTAACCAATCTTCGAAGACTATCAGATTTTGTTTTGGGCAAAGGTGATGGACATCATATACAAGAGATGAAGAATTTGTTAAATCTGAAGGGTAAGCTTCGTATCTCAGGGTTAGAGAACGTTGTTAATGCTCAAGATGCATGGGAGGCTAAGTTAATATATAAGTCTGGCCTTGGCACATTAGAACTAAAGTGGAGTAGAGAATTTGACAATAATAGAAATAAAGAAGTTGAAGGAGAGGTGTTGAACTTGCTTGAACCTCACAGAGAGCTTGAGAAGCTCCGCATTTGGAATTATGGTGGTACAAAATTTCCGATTTGGATGAATTCTTCATTAAAAAATTTGTCGTCTTTGGTTCTCGAGGGCTGTAAAAATTGTGTATCACTGCCATCACTTGGAAAATTACCGTTACTGAAGAATCTTTTTATTGTTGGAATGGATGAGTTAAATAAGGTTGGCATTGAGTTCTACGGGGAGAATCAATCAAATGCATTTGCTTCGTTACAGAGTTTGAGCTTTTGGGATATGCCAAGATGGAAGGAATGGGACTTGGTTGATGAGCAAGTTGTGAAATTCCCTAGCCTCGTCGAGCTTTCCATCCATAACTGCCCTCAATTGTTGGGAACGTTGCCTAACCGTCTTCATTCCTTAAAGAAGCTTGAAATTTATGACTGTGCACAAATGGTGGTTTCACTTTCAGACCTTCCAAAGCTGTCTGAATTACAAATAGATGAGTGTGCAGAGTTGGTGCTTAGAGATGATGCAAACTTTCGCTCAATAAAAAAAGTCTGTCTTTCAAATGTTGTAAAGTTTTCTACTCCAACAGAAAGGCTGGTATCAACATCAACAACATTGGAGCGTTGTGAGATTTATGATTGTGAGGGATTGACATATTTATCGCTAAAGAAGTTGGGACTGTTGGGATCTGTTTGTAAATTGGAAATTTTTCGATGTCCACAACTTGTGTTGTTAGAGCCAGATGAGGTAGAGGAGGCAGAAGAGGAGCTGTTTCAAGTTGGGAATCTTTGTAATATTGAATCTTTGACAATATGGGAAAGTGGTCTCAATATGGAATCTTTGAGAATAAGAAAGCATTTCCTCTCATTTCTTACAGAGATGGAAATTAGAAACTGCCCGAACATGGTTTGTTTTGCAAAGAACAACTTACCCCCACTTTTGAAGAAGTTGAGGATTGAAAGTTGCGAGAATTTGCGATGTTTGGTGGATGCAGGAGAAAATATAAGCATCAGCAACGTATCTCCTCTTGAG